TTTTTTTTTTTTTTTATATTTTTTATTTTTTTTTTTTTTTTTTTTTTTTTTTTTTTTTTTTTTTTTTTTTTTTTTTTTTAAGTGTATCGAAATTTAAATTATTGTTACTATTTTTATACATTAAATATTTATATGTATATTGGTTATTATTTTTGTAGGTGCATACGAGAGAATGCATTGACATTGGAATGCTTTTAATCTGCCCTATAGACTATCGTATAATCGTAGAGTTGTAATCTTAATATCCATCATGCCCTCTTCCCTTTTAGTTTAGTGGTACTTAAACATTTGAGTGCAGCATGATCTGTAACTAAGGTAAAATGTCTTGCACCTAAGTAATAGTGAAAATGTTTAATAGCCCATAACATTGCTAAGCATTCAAGCTCTGATGTAGAATAGTCACGCTCGGTCTTTGTAAGTCCTCTGCTGGCATAAGCTATGATGTATTCTTTATTATCCTTGTCTTTTTGGGCTAAGATAGCACCTAATCTAGTACCCAAGGCATCTGTGTGTAAGTAAAACATTTTCTTAAAGTCTGGGTATCTTAGAATAGGTGCCATTATTAGATGTCTTTTTAGAGTTTCAAATGCACATTGTTGCTTTTTAGTCTACTTATAGGGTATATCTTTTTCTAGGAGTTTATGCAATGGTCGAGCTACTGTCGCGAACTTTCAGATGAATCTTCGATAATATGATGCTAAGCCAATAAATCTTCTTAATTGTCGAAGATTTGTTGGTGTTAGAAAGTTTTTTACCTTTTCTATTTTTGTTTCATCAGGTTTTACACTATTCTTACTAATTATATGACTGAGATAATGGAGCTCTAACTGAAAGAATTCATATTTATCTAGGTTTAATTTTAATCTCGCATACCGTAATTTATTGAAAATTATTTTTAAGTAATTAATGTGGTCTTCGAATATTTTGGAATATATGTTTATGTTATCTAAGTAGATGACAGTGTAATCCCCTATGCATTTTTGTAAAACTTTATCCATAAGTCTCTGGACATTCTGGGTGTGTTACAGAGTCCAAATGGCATTACATTAAATTCGTAACTGCTATACTTAGTAACAAAGGTTGTCTTTTCTTTATCCTCTTCTCTCATTCCTACTTGCCAGTAACCACTTATCAAATCTAAGGTGGAAAACTATTTGGTACTACTGAAAGTGTCAAGTAGGTCATTAATATAGGGAAGGGGGTATGTGTCTTTCTTTGTGACCAAATTTAGCTTTCGGTAATCTACACAAAACTAGAACTTCCTACCTTTTTTTTGGCACTATGACTACAGGAGAAGACTAAGGGCTAATTGATTCTCTAATTAGTCCTTTATCTAACATTTCAGTAATTTCTTCTTTTACGAACTTATCCTCTTTCTAAGCTAGTCTGTAAAAGTTTTGTTTAATTAGTGTTGTATCCCCTGTATCTATGATGTGCGTAGTGACATTTGTTTGTCCTAAGTCATTTAGGTTTCGGGCAAATAAATCTTTTTCTTGTTTTAAGAGATTCTTAATTTTTTCTTTTTGTGTTTTGCTTAGTTCTTCATTATTGAGAAACTTTCCAAGTTTCTCTTCAGAGAACTTTTCATTGTCTTCGTCATTTCCACTTGGCATTTCCTCTATGTTAGTTAAGTATAAAGCAGGATTTTCCTCATACATTATCGGCCAGGTTTCAGTAAAGAAACCTTCAGTATCCCTGGGTTCCTCCTCCTCATATTCGAATTTGTTAAAAGTATCTCCATTTTCACTATCAAATCATTCCTCTTTGTCTTCAGGTAATATTATTTCTTTTCTAGTATTAGATATTGGGACTTCTGTTGACTGGTTTAGATATTTTAGGTGTAATTTTTGCTCATCAAAATGTATGCGGGCATTCACTTTTTGGAACCAATCGGTTTCTAGTAGTAATGTTTCTTCGGAAGACTCTAAAACTTGAAGAGTGGTAGGTATCATTATACCTTAGACCATTATTTTTACATTTTTTATTTTTCCTAACATTCTGGCTTTTGCTCCTGTTGCCATTACTATAACTATGCTTGATTCCTCATCGATTTCTAGACCAAGCTTATCAAGTAGTCTTTTCGATATTATACTTATGGCTACTTCCAAATTGAGAACTACTGTCAAGAGGTTGTCATGAATTTTTATATAGTATCTAGCTGCTGTCATTTGATAATTTTCTTCGAAATTAATGAAGTTAGTCTCAGATAGGGGTAACGTTCTTTTTAATACTTTAGCTAGGTTCTTTTTTGATTAGGGTATTGGAGTATTTGTCCTACTGTGGCACTTGTTAGAAGAGATAAAATATTATCTGTAACGTTATTTAGTTTTAGGGTATCAACTAATGAGGGACTGAGTTTTTTTTTGGCTTTATTTATTGAGGTCGAATTTATATTTATAGGATCATTATTAATTTCTATTTCTTGTCTTTCAATAGTGTTTCTGATTGGTTGTGTATTTTTTTTATCTCTTAGTCTATTTTTCTAATTCAGGTTAATTGTTCGTTTTGTGGCCTTATTCGTAGTAGTTTCGTCTCCAACGACGTACACCTCTCCACTTTTATCTTGGACTAGTTCGCAAAAGTTCATATCCTTAGGTCGAATCCAAGTCTTCTGGTTAGTTTTTTGATTC